AGAAGTGGTGCCAAGGGTAGTAGTTTCTACAGAAGTGGTGCCCAGGGTAGTACTTTCTACAGACGTGGTACCAAAGGTAGTAGTTTCTGCAGAAGTGGTTCCCAGAGTTCTAGATTCTGCAGAAGTAGTGCTAAGGATAGTGGTTTCTGCTGAAGTGGATCCTGCAGAAGTGGCTTCCAGGGTAATAGTTTCTAAAAAAGTTGTGCCCAGGGTAGTAGTTTCTGCAGAAGTAGTTTCCAAGGTAGTAGTTTCTACAGAAGTAGATTCAATGCTAGTAGTTTCTACAGAAAAATCTCCAAGGCTACTAGTTTCTGCAGAAGTGGTGCCGAGGGTTGTAGATTCCACAGTAGTAATGTCAAGGGTAGAAGTTTCTGCAGAAGTGGTGCCAAGAATACTAGTTTCTGCAGAAGTGGGGTTTCTGCAGAAGTGGGTCCTGTAGAAGTGGCTTCCAGGGTAGTAGCTTCTACAGAAGTGGTGCCCAGTGTAGTAGTTTCTACAGAAGTGATGCCAAGGGTAGTAGTTTCTGCAGAAGAAGGGCCTGTAGAAGTGGTTTCCAGTGTAGTATTTTCTACAGAAGTGGTTTCAAGGGTAGTAGTTTCTGCAAAAGTGAGTGCTGCAGAAGTGGTTTCCAGGGTAGTATTTTCTACAGAAGTGGTTTCCAGGGTTGTAGTTTCTATAGAAGTAGTGCCCAGGGTAGTAGTTTCTACAGAAGTGGTGCCAAGGGTAGTAGTTTCTGCAGAAGAGGGGCCTGTAGAAGTGGCTTCCGAGGTAGTAATTTCTACAGAAGTGGTGCCAAGGGTAGTAAATTCTGCAGTAGTAGTTTTCAAGGTTGTAGTTTCTATAGAAGTTGTGCTCGCGGTAGTGGTCTCTGCAGAAGTGGTTTCCAGGGTAATACTTGCTACAGAAGTTTTCCCCAGAGTGGTAGATTCAACAGAAGTGGTGCCGAGGGTACTAGTTTCTGAAGAGGTGCTAAGTGTAGTAGTCTCTGCAGAAGTGGTCCCCAGAGCGGTAGATTCAACAGAAGTGGTACCAAGGGTACTAGTTTCTGAAGAGGTGCTAAGGGTAGTAATTTCTACAGAAGTGGTGCCAAGTGCACTAGTTTTGACAGAAGTTATGTCCAGGGAACTTGTTTCTATAGATGTGGTGCCAAAGGTACTAGTTTCTGTAGAAGTGGTTCCCAGTGTAATACTTTCTACAGAAGAGGTGTCAAGGATAGTAGTTTCTGCAGAAGTTGTGCCCGGGATAGTAGTTTCTGCAGAAGTGGGTACTGCAGAAGTGGTTTCCAGGGTAGTAGTTTCTACAGAAATGGTGCCAAGGTCAGTAGTTTCTGCAGAAGTGGGCATTGCAGATGTGGTTTCCAGGGTAGCAGTTTCTACAGAAGTGGTGCCAAGGGTAGTAGTTTCTGCAGAAGTGGGTCCTGCAGATGTGGTTTCCAGGGTAGTAGTTTCTACAGAAGTGGTGCCAAGGACAGTAGTTTCTGCAGAAGTGAGTGCTGCAGAAGTGGTTTCCAGGTTTGTAGTTTCTATAGTAGTGCCCAGAGTAGTAGTTTCTACAGAAGTTATGCCCAGGGCAGTAGTTTCTATAGAAGTTGTGCCCAGGGTAGTAGTTTCTATAGAAGTAGTGCCAACCGTAGTAGTTTCTAAAGAAGTTGTGCCAAGGGTACTAGTTTCTACATAAGTGGTGCCAAGGGTAGCAGTTTCTGCAGAAGTGTGGGCTCCAGATGTGGTTTCCAGGGTTGTAGTTTCGATAGAAGTTGTACCCAGGGTACTAGTTTCTACAAAAGTGGTTCTAAGGGTAGTCGTTTCTGCAGAAATGAGTGTTGCAAAAGTGGTTTCCAGGGTAGTACTTTCTAAAGAAGTGGTGCCAAGGGTAGTAGATTCTGCAGAAGTGGGTCCTGCAGAAGTGGTTTCCAGGGTAAAAGTTTCTTCAAAATTGGTGCCAAGGGTACTAGTTTCTGCATTAGTTATGCCCAGGCTAGGAGTTTCTACAGAAGTTGTGCCAAGGGTAGTTGTTTCTGCAGAAGTGGTGCCCAGAGTTGTAGATTCTACAGAAGTGGTGCCAAGGATAGTAGTTTCTGTAAAAGTGGGTCCTGCAGAAGTGGTTTCCAGGGTAGTAGTTTCTACAGAAGTGGTGCCAAGGATAGTAGTTTCTGCAGAAGTGGTGCCCAGAGTTGTAGATTCTAAAGAAGTGGTGCCAAGGATAGTAGTTTCTGTAAAAGTGGGTCCTGCAGAAGTGGTTTCCAGGGTAGTAGTTTCTACAGATATGGTGCCTAGGGTAGTGGTTTCCACAGAAGTGGGTCCTGCCGAAGTGGGGCCCAGAGTGGTAGATTCTACAGTAGTGGTGCCAAATGTACTAGCTTCTGCAGAAGTGGTTCCCAGGGTAGTACTTTCTATAGAAGAGGTTCCAAGGGTAGTAGTTTTTGCAGAAGTTGTGCCCGGGGTAGTAGTTTCTGCAGAAGTGGGTCCTGCATATGTGGTTTCCAGGATAGTAGTTTCTACAGAAGTGGTGCCAACGGTAGTAGTTTCTGCAGAAGTGGGTCCTGCAGATGTGGTTTCCAGGATAGCAATTTCTACAGAAGTGGCTTCAAGGGTAGTAGTTTCTGCAGAAGTGAGTGCTGCAGAAATGGTTTCCAGGTTTGTAGTTTCTATTGAAGTAGTGCCCAGAGTAGTAGTGTCTACAGAAGTGATGCCAAGGGCAGAGGTTTCTGCAGAAGTGGTTCCTGCATATGTGGTTTCCAGGATAGCAGTTTCCACAGAAGTGGTGCCAAGGGTAGTAGTTTCCACAGAAGTGGTTTCCAGGGTTGTAGTTTCCACAGAAGTGGTTTCCAGGGTTGTAGTTTCCACAGAAGTGGTTTCAAGGGTAGAATTTTCTACAGAAGTGGTTCCCAGGGTTGTAATTTCTACAGAACTGGTGTCAAGGGTAGTACTTTCTGCAGAAGTGGGTCCTGTAGAAGTGGCTTCCAGGGTAGTAATTTCTACAGAAGTGGTGCCAAGGGTGGTAGATTCTGCAGTAGTAGTTTTCAAGGTTGTAGTTTCTATAGAAGTTGTGCTCACGATAGTAGCCTCTGCAGAAGTTATGCTCACGGTAGTGGTCTCTGCAGAAGTGGTTTCCAGGGTAATACTTTCTACATAAGTGGGGCCAAGGGTAGTAGTTTCTGCAGAAGTTGTGCCCAGAGTACTAGTTTCTACAGAAGTGGTTCTAAGGGTAGTCGTTTCTGCAGAAGTGGGTCCTGCAGATGTGGTTTCCAGGATAGTAGTTTCTACAGAAGTGGTGCCAAGGGTAGTAGTTTCTGCAGAAGTGGGTCCTGCAGATGTGGTTTCCAGGATAGTAGTTTCTACAGAAGTGGTGCCAAGGGTAGTAGTTTCTGCAGAAGTGGGTCCTGCAGATGTGGTTTCCAGGATAGTAGTTTCTACAGAAGTGGTGCCAAGGGTACTAGGTTCCGCAGAAGTGGTTTCCAGTTTAGCACTTTCTACAGAAGAGGTGCCCAGGGTAGTGGTTTCTACAGACGTGGTGCCAAGGGTAGTAGTTTCTGCAGGAGTGGGTACTATAGAAGTGGCTTCAAAGGTAGTAGTTTCTGCAGAAGTGAGTGCTGCAGAAGTGGTTTCCAGGTTTGTAGTTTCTATAGAAGTAGTGCCCAGAGTAGTAGCGTCTACAGAAGTGATGCCAAGGGCAGAGGTTTCTGCAGAAGTTGGTACTGCATTAGTGGTTTCCAGAAAAGCAGTTTCTAAAGTAGTGGTGCCAAGGGTAGTATTTTTTACAGAAGTGGTTTCCAGGGTTGTAGTTTCAACAGAAGTGGTTTCAAGGGTAGAATTTTCTACAGAAGTGGTTCCCAGGGTTGTAATTTCTACAGAACTGGTGTCAAGGGTAGTAGTTTCTGCAGAAGTGGATCCTGTAGAAGTGGCTTCCAGGGTAGTAATTTCTACAGAAGAGGTGCCAAGGGTAGTAGTTTCTGTAGAAGTGGTGGTCAGAGTGGTAGATTCACCAGAAGTGGTGCCAGAGGTACTAGTTTCTGCAGAAGAGGTGCCAATGGTAGTAGTCTCTGCAGAAGTCGTGCCAAGGGTAGTAGATTCAACAGAAGTGGTGCCAGAGGTACTAGTTTCTGCAGAAGAGGTGCCAAGGGTAGTAGTCTCTGCAGAAGTGGTGCCAAGGGTAGTAGTTTCTACAGAAGTGGATTCAAGGGTAGCAGATTCTGCAGAAGTTGTGCTCATGGTAGTAGTCTCTGCAGAAGTGGTTTCCAGGGTAATACTTTCTACAAAAGCGGTGCCAAGGGTACTAGTTTCAGCAGAAATGGTGTGCAGAGTGGTAGATTCAATAGAAGTGGCAAAAAGCGTAGTAGTTTCTGCAGAAGAGGATACTGCAGAAGTAGTTTCCAGGGTAGTAGCTTCTACAAAAGTGGTGCCAAGGGTACTAGTTTCTGCAGAAGTGGGACCTGCATATGTGGTTTCGAGGATAGTAGTTTCTACAGAAGTGGTGCCAAGGTTAGTAGTTTCTGCAGAAGTGGGCACTGCAGAAGTGGTGTCCAGGGTAGTAGTTTCTACAAAAGTGGTGCCAAGGGTAGTAGTTTCTGCAGAAGTGGGTGCTGCAGATGTGGTTTCCAGGGATGTAGTTTCTATAGAAGTTGTGCCCAGGGTAGTGGTTTCTGCAGAAGTGGTTCCAAGGGTACTAGTTTCTGTAGAAGTGGGTCCTGCAGAAGTGGTGCCAAGGGTACTAGTTTCTGCAGAATTGGTGCTAAGGGTAGAAGATTCTGCAGAAGTGGTGCCCAGAGATGTAGGTTTAACATAAGCAGAGCCAAGGGTAGTCGTCTCTGCAGAAGCAGAGCCAAGGGTAGTCGTATCTGCAGAAGCAGTGCCAAGCGTAGTAGACTCTACAGAAGTGGTGCCAAGGGTAATAGACTCTGCAGAAGTAGTGACAGAGGTACCAGTCTGTGCAGAAGTGGTGCCAAAGGTAGTAGTCTGTGCAGAAGTGGTGACAAGGGTAGTAGTCTCTGCAGAAGTGGTGCCAAGAGTAGTAGTTTCTACAAAAGTGGTGCCAGTAGTAGTTTCTAGAAAAGTGGATTCAAGAGTAGTAGATTCTGCAGAAGTTGTGCTCACGATATTAGTCTCTGCAGAAGTGGTTTCCAGGGTAATACTTTCTACAAAAGTGGTGCCAAGGGTACTAGTTTCTGCAGAAGTGGTTCCTGCATATGTGGTTTCCAGGATAGTAGTTTCTACACAAGTGGTGCCAAGGTTAGTGGTTTCTGCAGAAGTGGATACTGCAGAAGTGGTTTTCAGGGTAGTAGTTTCTACAGAAGTGGTGCCAAGGGTACTAGTTTCTGCAGAAGTGCTTTCCAGGGTAGTAGTTTCTACAGAGGTGGGTACTGTAGAAGTGGCTTCCAGGATAGTAGTTTCTACAGAAGTGGCTTCAAGGGTAGTATTTTCTGCAGAAGTGAGTGCTGCAGAAGTGGTTTCCAAGTTTGTAGTTTCTATAGTAGTTCCCAGAGTAGTAGTTTCTACAGAAGTGATGCCATGGGCAGTGGTTTCTGCAGCAGTGGGCACTGCAGAAGTGGTTTCCATGGTTGTAGTTTCTACAGAAGTTGTGTCCATGGTAGTAGTTTCTATAGAAGTTGTGCCAGAAGTGGTGCCAAGGGTAGTAGTCTCTGCAGAAGTGGTGCCAAAGGTAGTAGTCTCTGCAGAAGTGGTGCCAAGGGTAATAGACTCTGCAGAAGTAGTGACAGAGGTACTAGTCTGTTTAGAAGTGGTGCCAAGGGTAGTAGTCTGTGCAGAAGTGTTGCCAAGGGAAGTAGTCTCTGCAGAAGTGGTGCCAAGAGTAGTAGTTTCTAGAAAAGTGGATTCAAGAGTAGTAGATTCTGCAGAAGTTGTGCTCACGGTATTAGTCTCTGCAGAAGTGGTTTCCAGGGTAATATTTTCTACAAAAGTGGTGCCAAGGGTACTAGTTTCTGCAGAAGTGGTTCCTGCATATGTGGTTTCCAGGATAGTAGTTTCTACAGAAGTGGTGCCAAGGTTAGTGGTTTCTGCAGAAGTGGATACTGCAGAAGTGGTTTTCAGGGTAGTAGTTTCTACAGAAGTGGTGCCAAGGGTACTAGTTCCTGCAGAAGTGCTTTCCAGGGTAGTAGTTTCTACAGAAGTGGCTTCAAGGGTAGTAGTTTCTGCAGAAGTGAGTGCCGCAGAAGTGGTTTCCAAGTTTGTAGTTTCTATAGTAGTTCCCAGAGTAGTAGTTTCTACAGAAGTGATGCCATGGGCAGTGGTTTCTGCAGCAGTGGGCACTGCAGAAGTGGTTTCCATGGTTGTAGTTTCTACAGAAGTTGTGTTTTGTAGTCTTAGTGCCAACGGTAGTAGTTTCTGCAGAAGTTGTGCCCAGGGTACTAGTTTCTAAATAAGCTAAATAAGTGGTAGTAGTTTCTGCAGAAATGCGGGCTGCAGATGTGGTTTCCAGGGTTGTAGTTTCGATAGAAGTTGTGCCCAGGGTAGTAGTTTCTACAGAAATGGTGCCAAGGGTAGTCGTTTCTGCAGAAATTAGTCCAGCAGATGTGGTTTCCAGGATAGTAGTTTCTACGGAAGTGGTGCCAAGGGTACTAGTTTCTGCATTAGTTATGCCCAGACTAGTAGTTTCTACAGAAGTGGTGCCAAGGGTAGTTGTTTCTGCAGAAGTGGTACCCAGAGTTGTAGATTCTACAAAAGTGGTGCCAAGGATAGTAGTTTCTGTAAAAGTGGGTCCTGCAGAAGTGGTTTCCAGGGTAGTAGTTTCTACAGATGTTGTCCCAAGGGTAGTAGTTTCTGAAGAAGTGGGTCCAGCAGAAGGAGTCTCCAGAGTGGTAGATTCTACAGTAGTGGTGCCAAATGTACTAGCTTCTGCAAAAGTGGTTCCCAGGGTAGTACTTTCTACAGAAGAGGTTGCAAGGGTAGTAGTTTCTGCAGAAGTTGTGCCCGGGGTAGTAGTTTCTGCAGAAGTGGTGCCAAGGGTACTAGTTTCAGCAGAAGATGTGTCCAGAGTGGTAAATTCAATAGAAGTGGCAAAAAGTGTAGTAGATTCTGCAGAAGTGGGTACTGCAGAAGTGGTATGCAGGGTAGTAGCTTCTACAAAAGTGGTGCCAAGGGTACTAGTTTCTGCAGAAGTGGGTCCTGCATGTGTGGTTTCCAGGATAGTAGTTTCTACAGAAGTGGTGCCAAGGGTAGTAGTTTCTGCAGAAATGCGGGCTGCAGATGTGGTTTCCAGGGTTGTAGTTTCGATAGAAGTTGTGCCCAGGGTAGTAGTTTCTACAGAAATGGTGCCAAGGGTAGTCGTTTCTGCAGAAATTAGTCCAGCAGATGTGGTTTCCAGGATAGTAGTTTCTACGGAAGTGGTGCCAAGGGTACTAGTTTCTGCATTAGTTATGCCCAGACTAGTAGTTTCTACAGAAGTGGTGCCAAGGGTAGTTGTTTCTGCAGAAGTGGTACCCAGAGTTGTAGATTCTACAAAAGTGGTGCCAAGGATAGTAGTTTCTGTAAAAGTGGGTCCTGCAGAAGTGGTTTCCAGGGTA